TTAATCTTTCGCACTTTTTGGATGTATGATGCATCAATTTTTTCTCCATTGTTATTCGGATCTTCATCCTCTGAAGACGAATATTGTACTATAATTCTGTTTATTTTCGATTTTTTTTTAAATTATCAGTTACTATTTCTTCTTCACTATCTGAACTAATGAATGGTCTTGTTCTGTTTTTCCTCATGGGTGAAATAATTTCTAAAATTTAATATTAAATTTCAAGTTTTATCTTAATTAAACGTACAGGTTATTCAACTAACGCAATTGTCCCAAAAATTAGGTTAACTTGTAAATACTAATTAGTTGAAATTACCTTCATCACTGCTTTTCGACATTATCAATAGTAAATATCTTGATGTAAGTATAAATGGAGTTGGGCCACTTTCAAACGACACGGCTCAGTTATTTAATTAATTCTGAAAACTTATGTGTGAAAAATTTATCATATTTGCTCTGAATATAAGCAACCTGAAGTGCTTCACTGATACATAACATGAAGCTGTACATTTAACCATGGTAACCGGCAAAAAATTGGAAAACGGAGTTAGGCCACTTTCAAAATAAACGGCTCATATATTGGCACTTTTCGCAAGTGTTGCGAACAACGATATATCGTCGTTCGGCACTAAAAGGGTTAATATGTACGAGTTAATACAATAACGGATGATGTATGCCATCTTCGAAATTGCGTTGAGAAAAAATATATCTTTTTAGAAAGACAGATTATGTTCACTCTGAAACAAAAAAGAAACAGCAGCAAAATATGTACTGATTTGTTAGTGTTTCGTAACTATACATAGAACCAAGCACCTTCGTGTTTACAATCCCTCTCTTACTAGCTGCCCCACTGCCGCAGGGCAGGCCGAATGTAAACACGAAGGTGCCTTTTCGATGCGCGAGGACTATACAAGAAATGATATGACAAAGCCTGATTGGAACTACGTATATATACAGGGTTCCCCGGAAAGAATCATCCGATTTCAAAAATTTATATTTCAAAAAATTACACACAGAAAATTATAATTCAAACACGAATATAACGGGAAAATGTGCGAGTTTTACTTTTTACCCCATTGGCACTTGGAGGTTCGGAATTTTCTTAACACGGAACTACCAAACCGTTAGATTGGTCGCAGTTCATCCGATAATATGGTTCTACACAGTTGGCCTCCGAGATCACCCGACCTAACCCCATGCGACTTCTTCCTTTGGGGATTTGTGAAGGATCTTGTCTTTGTACCACCTTTACCTACAAGTGTAAATGAACTGAAAAAACGCATTTGTGATGCTGTACAAACAATTACCAGCGATACATTACACCGCGTTTGGCAAGAACTTTCATATCGCAACGATATCATACGTGTAACGAAAGGAAGTCATATTGAACACTTGTAAACAAAAACTCACACATTTTCCCGTTATATTCGTGTTTGAATTATAATTTTCTGTGTGTAATTTTTTAAAATATAAATTTTTGAGATCGGATGATTTTTTCCGGGGAACCCTGTATATATAAAATCGAATATTTGTACTCACTGAAAACAGAGGAGTACAGTAAAATTTTCCCAATTGTCCTCAGTTTGTAAAAAAACATGGCCAATTTGGGAAGAGGAGATACTATTATCCTAGCCTTGCGTCTCGTTTTTATAGTTGTGTTGTTTTTGTATTGTCCATTTTTGTCTACAAGCTAAAGAACAATTGGGGAGAATTTACTGTATTCACGCATTACTGAATTATCGTTATAATTTCATTTTATTGTATTTTGCGTTGAACCTTTGTATAATAAAGCGTTCTATCCTGTTGATTTTAATAGTTACGAAACAACTAACACGTTCATTGTTGTTGCACCACCCTGAAGTAATGTGTTAAACAGTTCCGGGGTGAAACAATGCCGTCGTAAGCGGGATTTTTAGTGGGTAAAATCCCCACATACCTCGAGAGTCTGGCCGTTTCCGGGGATCTGGTTGAAGATTTTCTCCCGCTATAAAGACCAAAAAAACTATTCATTTTTGTAGAGACAAATTTAATATCCGTCTTTCCATAGTATCCTATTACTGCACACATCATAATACCACCGCCACCCATTTGCCGCCTTTGCTACACGATTTCTTCTTTCCTCAGATCAGGAAAATAAGGCCATCAGGTCCATTTAAGTTAAAACGCTTTTTGTCAGGAAAGATGATCTTTTTTCCACTAACTTTTTTCCATCTTGTATCCGATGCTCTGCAAATTTCAATCTGGCTTGTTTATGTTTATCACTTAGCGGCGGTCGCTTCCTCATTTTAAGCCTTTTCAAATGCTTACAACCCTTTCTTATTCTCTCTCTGTAGAATTCAAGGCATGTCTTAAAATTTGTCACCCTTCTCGCTCAGTTCTTGTTTTTGCACGACTACCGAGGTTCTTTTCAACATACTTTTCTTTTATTATTTAAATAGTTGTGAACTACAGAACGACTTCTCCTTAACCCTTTTGCTACGGCGGAACCACCCGCCGAAATTGTGCACATTGCGCGTGGATAGTGTATTGGGGAAGAAAAGGGATTTTTCTTTAAAACAATATAGTTATAATTTCTGCATAAGGTATAAAGTTATTTAATAGGTAAAAAAAGTTTCATTAACAATGGAAAAAGTGAAGAAATAATATATAATATACAGTAATAAAATAAAACATAATATTCATAATACAAAACATAATACATAATAATTAGTCCTAAAGTTAGTACTTTCGATTTTCTATCCCTTTATGACATGTAACACAATAATAATGGGAAATGCAGGTAGAACAAATATAACTTGAATGGTGTGTCGTTTATTTCGGACTGTCGTTTGTTTGTTTCGCCAAAAGATTCACGCAATAGTAACAAGAGGCGGTGCAGTCCAAAAATTAGGTCGCGATTTTACCAGCATGTCGGATATATCCGGCGTTCG